TATCTATGTATATGTCTTTGCCGATAATTTTGTATAGGGTTTGTTAAGTGAATTTGTGCATATGAATGTTTTTTCTCGATACTGAACTGTTTGTTCGTTGTGTAGGTCTTCTGTAGGGAAACAAATTTGGACATGGAAAATGTTATTGTGTATATCTGTAAAACAATGTTATAAGTGTCCGACCATTACCTCATTACCTAAATTCTAGCTTTCATTAAAACTACACTTAATGTCAGGGACTACGGGATGAGACTAGACGGAATGATGACTTGAACGGCGTACGTGATGACGATGCCTCTCAACTAAGTGCCTTGCTTCATAAACCAGTGTGCGATGATGTCGCGAGTGCCGTTCGACATTACAAACCACAGAGAGTACTTACACACCAGGTCCAGAACTGGCACAACGAAATCAAAGAGCTGAAACGTGCCTTATACAAGTGGCAGGTGAGTTGTGATAGTTTTTTTTTGCTGATAGAGCTATGTACACTGCAGATCAAATTGAGTACTTTGCGCCGGATGCTTGTCGATTGAAAGCAAGATTGTGTGTCCTCGCAGGATTGCATTTGTGATATGCATTCGGTTAGAGTACAAGCGTCACCCATCAGTGGATAGTCAAATTCTCATTTATGGTGGAACTCGTATCTTGAGCCGGGATTGGGTATATGTGTTGATGCTGATTGCTTTACATGCGGCTTGGACTTGTGCAAAGTGTTTACTGTCTTTCTGGTTGGAGATGCGAAATATCAATACCCAAATTTTCTATTGTCAATGTGTGGGTCAGCTGTTGCCCAAGCGATTTGTGATACCAGCTGAAGCCTTACTGTCTACTGTGAATCGTCACCCTCCAGAAGTCAAAAACAGGAACCCGACCCACACACCGGCTAGGTTTCTGTGGACTCGTAGGTGAACAGGTGGACTCGATTGAATACCACAACAACCGCGTAGCAAAGTACGGTCTCGCAGTCGATGAAATGATGACAAACCCGGATATGTGGGTTCCTACCGATACGGCCTTCGCGGTTATGACAACGTAAGGGCAGTCATAATGTCTAAGAGATCTATGAATATGATTTTGGGGTATACAGTGTCTGTATGCGTTGAATGTGTCAATTTTCGTTCAGGTTCGAAGCTTGAATCAGCTGTAAAGTGCATTTATATACCGTTTATCTTGTGTCATTTGGACGTGTTGCACCGATATTAGTTAAATAGTGATCTCCTAAACCGATATGCTGTTTTGATCGCACTTTTCCTAAACCGATATGCTGCTTTGATCGCACTTCTTCAGCAATCTATACCTGTGCACCTCCGCGCATACGAAGTGGCATTATTTATTTGAGTATAATTTTCGCAGCGGTACCTTCATTGGATCGAATAGAAATTTACAATACATTTTATTGTCTACAAGGTTGTCTATAGAAATGCCGTCGCACCTGAACTGTTCGCTGGTGCACGCTTTTGCGCCATTGTTGGATGTCTACCGTTTCCGAGCCCACTGAATCTAGAGCTGGTATATCATAATTCCTTCAAACCAGAATAAGATGTATTGTTTTTCCTACCGAGCTATAGCATCACTTTTTGGACGAGCACAGGAATTCATTGTACTTGACATTCCGGTTTCAACAATGTAGTATGTCCAGTGTAGCTGCTGCCACTGAAAACAAATACCTGAGCGCGGCAGGAGCTAACTTGATTGCCGGGATCATCAGAGAGGCTCCGGAACGCCGAGATCTCTTCTGGATGAACGTTTCGCTTAATCGTAAGCAATGTGATTGCGGATTAATTGATCGTTTGTGATGCGGTTGCATCTTTATCTTCTACCACTATGTGTAGTTATACACGCCACGTCGATTGAGCACCAATTTTGAGAACAGATACGAGAACTACAATAACATAACTCATGCAAATTACCGTCACTACAGGTGTATCCCGTAGTTCACGCTGGCTTTTGGCTACTGTATTGGCAATCGCGCTGATTCTCCTGTGGTATATTCCCATTTCGTTCGTTCAATCGTTCATCTCAATGGAGGTATGTCAGCTTCTAATCGACTGTTTTATTCCTACGTGGAGTTTTTAGGGTTGTGCTACAATTTGTATATATATTGCAAGCTTTTTCGATTGCGACCTTAGATAATGACTATGAATTTCTGAATCTGTATCTGTTTATTAACCTATTGTCGCAAATTTGAATCTCTATTTCACGCAATGAATGCTAAACTCACATTTAAATGCTTGCGCATCGGAACACATTATACGTCCAAAACCCTCACGTTTAAAATCTCACAATGTGTCTTTCAGTTTTCTTATATACGAACCTTAATTTCTCCAGTATTTATCTACTAAAATACCGTGGTTCGATAGTCTGGTGGACGCAATTCCTTTTATGAGAGGCCTGCTGCAAGGGTTTTTACCACTTGTGTGTCTGAAGATCTTTATGGCCGCTCTACCGAAAATCTGTATAGGTATGTTTCAACTTATTGCAAATATCGAAATTTTTGTGCAGTGTCACGGTTCATGAAATTGTCCGAAGTAAAACATTTGACTGATTTTTCGATACGCGTTGATGTAAATCTTTGAATTATTTCGATTACATACATACCCTCCTAAATTCCATCGCGCCCAATGGTATCCTATCGAGGGGAAAGCATACAGATTTTACAGTTCTGACACTCCGAGTTTTATTCCTGTACAGGTCTGGCTATCCTAGAAGGCTGCCGAACGAAAAGCAAGATTGATCGACGTTCCACGAGTACTCTCTTCTACTTCCAGGTATGTGATTGTCGCCACTTTAGAATCTCGTATTGTAGTTAGGTCTATTTGATCGCTGAAAGTGATGTATGATTTGACTGCCTTCTATGATAGCCAGTCCGATACAGGGATAACAACCAGAGTGCCAGAAGTGCAACACCTGGATGCTTGCTTCTCGATAGGGTACCATTCCAAAAGCAGTAGTCAAAGTCAATAAAAATAGACTCACGTATACATCCTGCACACCATACACAGCTGTTTAACGTGATGTTGGGGTCGATTGCGATGAGTACGGTCTTTACGTCTCTTTCCATGGACGTTCCGATTTCGATCTTTGAGATGCTGGGGGATTCGATGCCTGGTACCTCAACTTTCTTCATGAATTATGTCATCGTGCTTACCTTTATCGGCACAGGAGTGGAGCTTCTCAACATGCCGATGCTCTTCGTGTATGTGTATGGGTCTTTCTAGACGGTAACACGTATCGATCTTTGCGTAGTATCATCCTGTTGCATAATTGTCTGTGACACGCTGTCGTCCATATATAGGTAGTTGGGTGCACATATAGTAAGCTACTGCCACAATGTGACTTTAGGTTTACTCCCATAGGCTTTCTTCAGCTATTATACATTACAGCGTGAATGGACGACAGGATGCATGTACATTTATCAAATATCAATAGACCTAAATGAGCACCCTCATGTACACCTGAGATTTCGTCGCTTAGCGACCGTTCTCGACACATTTTTTTCTCGAAATTGACACATATTGAAACATCGTCGAACTTACAATGATGTCATTGTTTTACACTTCAGCTCTGGGTTTCTTGTTGCTTTCTTTGTCAAGACACCGGTCGAGGAGGAAAAAACTATCCATCCTGATCCATTAGAGGTATGAACGCGCAAAAGCCGTTTTATTGCTATTATTGGTCGTTTTTTCCGCATACACGAACTGAACCGATCGCAACGATGAATACAATCGTTCCAAACACTTCTACAATCTTCAGATCTGCAATTTCGGATATTCTCTTTTGGCTTTCTGCTTATCTTCCATCGAACTTTTCCATCTGGTTCAGATTGCAAAGCCCTACGCGGAGTTCTTGCTGGTTATGTGTATTGGACTCGTATTCAGTACGGTTGCACCCATCGTACTACCTTCGGTGGTGCTTTACATGTTCGTCTGCAGATACGTATTCTTGAACCAGTTGAGATACGTATACGAGCCTGCGTACGAGACCGGTGGTCGCGCTTGGCCTCTTGTTTTCTCGCGAATTATGGTGAGTTTTGCTATAGTGCCGTGTCCACATCAGTGTTGGTATGTCAATGTCCGTGTCAAGTTCCTATTGATGTTGATATCGGTACCGTATCTGAGTATGCATCTCACCCTGATGTTTGCCAAATTAGTGGAAAGTTTTGCTTTCCCTTGCTGTACGTAAATTTTAAATATATGTTGCCCTCCATTGCCACAATCCTTGCCTAAATGGGGGAATCGAGCTTTGCAATTGGATTTAACGAAGCGAGCCTTGGACGTCTTCGAATACCCAATTGGGTTTCACTCCTGTGCGCGGGAAAAGTGCATTGCGAACTATATAAATACATTGTTCGACCTGACTACGTATGGTGTTCTACAAGGCACCTGACTTTACGACAATAGACACACATCTTGTATTAAAAGGCTACTTTATTTGTTCATGCGCAGGTATGCATAATGCTATTCCAGGCCACCATCTGTGGTGTGCTGCTGAGCAAGGATATGGTGGTAGCGTCGGCTATGATTTTGCCGCTTCTCGTTCTGAGTATCTTCTTCTGGCGTCATCTAAGCAACAGGTATTTGGCTGACATGACTGTTCAGACAATTTCATACATCAGTTCTCTGTGATATATAATGCAGCTTCCGGCCTCCGAGTTCTCGTTCACGCCGCAGCCTTAATGCAAGGTCAATTGCTTCAAGCCAACGCGCTGCATACAGTAGGCGACTTTCGTTTAATCAATATTACAGGACAATCTCACAAGCACTCCAATATTACTGACTGATTACCGCGCTCGAACTTCTGGCAGATATGGGCACGCTTACAAGCACACGCCTGGATCCATTGCCCAACGTGTAGATGAGAGAGCTCGCGCGTTGGCTCTCCTGGAAATGTCACATGCGGAATACACAGAGCCAGAACAACCCGTGAAAGCAGTCGCGAATACCAGACGCCGTAGCAGTGCAGGATCGACTGACAGTGACATTGATAGACCAACTACGTCACAAAGTACGAAGGACAACACGGCGGTAGCGATAAACCAGACCGTCCGCAAAGTATCCAAAAGAGATTCCCCCCTTTCCTTCTACCGCAGCACCCCAAAGTCAAATTTGGAGATGGATTCATGCGGCAGGCTTCGACTGGCCGCAAACAACCCATTTGCAAGATGGCGTAATCACATTCCCGAGTCTATGGAGGCCACAGAGGTGTTCATGCCAGACTTTGACAGCAAAGTCAGACGGAAACAAAAAGATTGTAATTGGCTTCATCAATTGGCAACTGCCACCCACCCGCCCTCACTTCATGAATTGTTCTCAGAGTTGCTGAAGTCTAACACCGAAGATAGCGCTGGCATCTCGATTGCCGAATGTATGGTAAGAGACCCACGCGAACCGGAGGTGAAGAAGTTCGGCACTGCAGCACCTGATCAATGCTCCTTGCAATCATATAAAGAAGGCAAAACCATCACACTCCAAGGAACAATAGAAAACTTAAAACAAGACAAGAAAAAGGTCAACCATCCGTGTGAATAGTCTGTTCATGCCGATACTATTGGGTATCGATGTCAAATAGCAACTGACAACAGAACTTTACTAAGCCCTGCAAGTATCAGCATTTAATGTGCGAAGGCGTCGGACGGAATGTAACATTCAAGTAACCGTCAGAAGGCCTCGATTCCAAGTACTATTGAAAATGCACATACATAAAGTAATAGCAACCTATTCTGCCACTTTCTATTTTGTGAGGTGGAAGCATTGCGTTGCACACCGACAGTGACAGAAGGAAGAGAAAGCAGGTGAAATAGACACGTTTCCAAACCAGTTATTCTCTATAGCAACATGACTCGAAAGGGTACATCTTTATTCAAATATTCATAGACTACAATGTGCGGTCTCAATCATAAAAACTTACACAAGCTCAAATGATGTGCTCTATCACTCTCGTACACGCGCTTGCTTATTGCGGGCCAGGGGTTAGACGTTTAAGAGAACATTTTCATTGAGGAGTTCTAAACGACGAGTGATGGCATGTTTGTCATCATGCCGTTCCTGGCCTCAGGTGAAATGCAATTGTGGTCGAAGAAAACGCCAGTGATCGCATTGCAGAGGTCGGGACAATCCCAAGGATCTAGGGAGACAACAAATCAGAAAATCAATGTATGGATTATGAGAGACGAATTTGCACTTGTTATTTTTAGATATACTAACTGAAAACCTAAAATATCCGGGAACATACTATAATAGGAAGGTACATGCTATATCGACAGGATTGCTAGATAAGTAGCAGCTTCCATCAATGATAAGCAAGATTTTATATCCGGTAAAGAAGCTGAGCATGCAATAAACTCACAATGGCAGGTTAAATTGACTGGAATATTAAATATGTAGCGTCTTCCATCGATTTTTGGTTAGTTGTATGAAGTAAGAAAGGCTATGAGAATATAGGAGTGATTTTGCCGAGGAGAGAGGTACTAACTCGACTTCAGAACATTTCTGACGAAACATGCAGTACAAACTATTGGCCATTCGCACGGATACCGAATACTAACTTCTCACATAAGTCTCAACGCCTGGCTTAAAGACCCTCACGATGCAAAACAATTAAGAAGAAAAGATTGTGAACACACAAGTTGCAACGTATACGTGGCTGAAGAACGCCACCAATTTCCAACATTCTGGATGGATTTACAGCAACATATACGCAATTGTGACTGTTCAGCTTACCCCACTTCTTGTCGTCTACTTGGAGGGTGAATACGCCTTCCTTCGAAACAGTGAAGGTGACACGGCAATCGTCATTGAATGTTTCATCCTTGAGCATATCCTCTAGCTTGTCGACATTCGCCTGGGAGGCATAAACCGGATTGATAAAAATTAGTATCGTTCGTGCACCTTTGTATAGGGTAGTCCTGATAATATATGCCCATTTTCATGCAATTTGGCAGGCGTTGTTTCGAATAATGTATCATCACAATTGTAAGACAGCAAATAAAGAATTCTCACAGATGACGGGCTAATTGCACACATGCTCGTGTCTAAATGCAATTGCCAGGTATTATATCTTCAGCCGAAGAAGTATGAGACCGGTTACAAAGTCTTTAGGCTGCTTATAAGCTGACTTATGCCAATACCGGGCTATATTTGATAAAACTCGAGTCCGTGTGTTTGCGCAGCATCTTACCTAATGTGCAGACGGTCAATACTGACGGAAAAGCCTAGACCACTCCAAACTGATACAATAAGCTAATACTATACGTTCACAATTGATCATGAAGTCGACAGTGATACTGACAATACATGGATATTTCGACAATTAATTGCGATACTGGATAAGATGTGTATCCATACCTTGTCCTTACTCCGAGGTTTTAGTCCTTCAGCCAATCCGCCGCTAAGCTGTGCCGGCGTCAGGTTGCGTGCAATAATCATGGCGACCTGCAGAACGCACACTCAGGATTGTGTGGTACCTCTTAGCCAATAGGCGGTTTTCCATTCATTTACGACTGAGATATGTACAAAAAATGTTCTCTTCTATGAACAAATACGGCTAAAACATTGCCGACTAAGAGCAGTATTCTCTTTACTGCCGGCTGTACTATTTCGACCGGTTACCTTTGGTAGGACCGCCACAGTTATGGTGCCGTAACTAGTACGTTAAAATTTAATCGGCGCTATATAATGCGAGGCTGTATTCTGGACTTGCAGTAACGAGAAATCGTGTTGAGACATGCGAACTGTACCTTCTTGTTGATTTTCGCCTTGCAGAATTTCGTGTAGAAATTCTCCATCTGGAACTTTATGTATGTAAATTGAGTGACAATATTTATTTTCTGCGTTGAATAGGCCATGGAATCAACGCAGAATGACATTAGAAAATATAATAATATACAAGAGAAACCCAGAATAATATGAGAGACCTTGCAAATATAAGATGTGACTTTAAACGTATATTACTTGATACATTGATGTAATATCTAAACTTACATCTTTGAGCTTCTTGCCTTTCATGTCACTAAACGCTTCGGAGACCCTGTAGAAAGCAAAGCAATGTATATTAGAATGCGAAAGAAGCAGCTCGATAACCATTATCTACGTTCCGAGCGCCTCATTGTAGAGACACTATCCTAAAGGTTGTGTTGTGAACATGTAGTGCATGATCTTCAGAAAGGCACGCGCACAGTAGATCTTATATGATAGAAAGACTCTGCTATCAACATATCATCTATACAATCTACAAACAACGCACAAACGAAATTTAGCACATATTTAGATTTATCTGAAATACGCGCTTCTAAATTGATAGAGTTTCGAGATACAGTTAGTACGGAATAGTAGCCACCAAGCTTGAACTATAAAATCAGCAGAATCAAAACATGATACGAATTAGTGCTCGCGAACAACTTGATTTAGTATTATGGCTTCCTGTTTCAAGACCGAAATAGCATAACAGTTGACGTAAAGGTAACATATCGGTCATTCCCTGTACTGCGTATATGGTTGTGATATACATAATGAATTAGATCTAACTGTCAATCTATTGTCAATGTAGTGTCGATCTACCGTGGAGGAATAGAACCATATCATACACACACATCCACATACATACAACAAACACACACACACACACACACACACATATATATATACATACATACATACGTATGTATGTATGTACATACATAGATACATAGATACATAGATATATACACACCTACATACCTACATGCATACATACATGCATACATACATACATACATACATACACACACACACACACACACACACACACACACACATATATATATGACCAAATAACTGACAGATACGTTAAAGATTTACTTCAATACATAGACAAGCTCACGTGTAAACAATTTCATAGCTATTTGACGATCTTGATAATTTTCAGGAAAAGGTCGCACAACAAACAAATATGATTGTTGCAATGTCTGAGTAAGAACATACTCGGCACTATCAAGGTAGAGGCCGACGGCATACACGTTGACGTTGACAAAAAAAATCTTTTTCTGTCGAGGTCCACATCCGGATAGTTTGTACCCATCGAGTTCATCTTTAAACATCTTTCCGGTCTTAGGATCAGTCATAGGCATGTTTTCAGAATTTTATATTACACTTGGCGGAAGATGTATATCAATATACTCGTGTATATACTGATGAAAGTATATATACTACACTATGAACGGCATCCTTGACCTATTTTGCGATTACAGCGTCTAAGCATATTTGTTCAAATACCTTTTTTGGAAATGGAATTTACCCGTCTCTACGCACCTATGTATTATATGCAGATTGCAGTATGAATTTATGCTCCTTCGTCATTCTTGGAATCTTTATACAGTGCATTTTATATTTATTTATTTTATATTTGTAAAAACAAAACCCAAAATATATTGTTCTGGGGTTTTTTTTGTATTTACATGATACTCGAGTCTCGACATTATTTGAGGATTTATATACCTTGCCATTTTCCATATTTTGGTTTTTTTGTCGACAAAACAGGACAAAATATAGTATACGACATTCTATGTCGATTTTGTCGTGTAGCAAATTAAAGCAAAATATAAATGAATTTCTATTGAGTATAAATCATTTTATTGTTGAATTTCTAAAGTTTTTTTCTATCAATTAAAAAGAAGTAGAATATTACTAGCCAATTGTAGTGATATTAACAGTTACTCTTTAAAAAAGAATTCGCGAAAATCAGCATTCGCAATTACTTTCACGTGATAATAAAAAAAACATTCAGTTAACTAATTAAATCCGAAATAATATATATATACGTCATAATCTTTTCTGAAATCGTTCTCTCCAATACATTATTTTACACAACAGAAAATTGTTTCTCTCGCCAATACACTTTTCTACACCTCAGTTTTCACTGCATTTATATCCGACTGAATACCAGAATAGCAACTGTACCCTAATATTGAACATATACTGAAAACGCAACCTGTCAATCAACCTATCAAAACCGTGCCACTAACATATTCGCTATAGTGTGCACTGTTTTCAGGTCTCTATGATGTGCACCATATCAAGTTACAATCATACTCGCATGAACTATGCCTAAACAACAGTTTAAAGACCCTCGGAAGCCTCCCATTACGGGACGTGACGCAGACTATGCTCCCAGTCTCCTTGCTATAGCCGCTATAGGTAAACACGACATCCACAAGTACTCAACGGACTTGAAAATATGGCAAGAACAATTTAAGAGCAACCTCCATACGCAAGTTAACGACGCTAAGTTATAATAATACAAAAATACGTACACACGTATGCAAGCATGCATGTACACAACGACTGTTTGAAATAGGCATCTTTTAAATATATATATAATTTGTAGACATTAATATATCTTTGCATATACGTAATTATGTATATATCTATGTATCACTATATAATTAATCTATATATACAATTACGAATGTGTACATGGAAATAAAACAATACGTACACACGCAAGCAAGAATACATGTACACAACGACTGTTTGAAATAGGCATATTTATATATATTTATAATTTGTAGACATTAATACATCTATGCATATACGTATTTGTGTGTATATTTATGTATCAATGTATATAATAAATCTATATAAATAAATACAAATGAGTGTACACAAAAATAAAACAATATGTACACACGCAAGCAAGCATGCATGTACACAACAACTGTTTGAAATAGGCATCTTTTTATATATTTACAATTTGTAGACATTAAGACATCTATACATATACGTATTTGTGTACATATCTATGTATCAATGTATATAATAAACCTTTATAAACAATTACGAATGTGTGTACACAAAAATACAACAATATGTACACACGCAAGCAAGCATGCATGTACACATCGCCTGTTTGAAATAGGCATCTTTTTATATATTTATAATTTGTAGATATTAATACATCTATGCATATACGTATTTCTGTCTATATCTATGTATCAATGTATATAACAAATCTATATAAACACTTATGAATGAGTGTATACAAAAATACAATACGTACACACGCATGCAAGCATGCATGTACATATCAGCTGTTCCAAATAGGCATTTTTTTATTTGTTTTATAAGATGTAGACATTAATACATCTATTTATGTATATATCTATGTATCAATGTATATAATAAATCTATACACACACTCACGAATGAAAGTACACAAAAATACAACTATACATGTCTATACACATCAATGTTTTCATACTTAAATATTTATGTATATACATTTGTATGTATGTATGTATGTATGTATGTATGTATATATATACGTTTTCGTGTATGTATCTATATATCCATGTATGTTTGTATTAATATACTTTATATGTATGTATGTACATATGCATACACGTATGTACTAACACAAATCAATTCAAGTGTTTACATACATGTGCACATACTTATTACATACATACAATATCATACAAACACTCATTCATACAATATATAGGGTCTCGCGTCATGTAAAAAAAACCTACGTTGTTTTTCGTACAAGACATCGGCGAAAGTTTTTTATTTCATGGAGGACATTTTTTCTCGCATCTCGACCAAAGGTCAGCTCGGAACTTCACGGTCAGGGCCGCTCCGCACCTCGGCACAAAAAGTAGGGCTCGCCTCTAAAATGCCTCCACGACTAAAAAACTTTCACCGATGTCATGTACCAAAAAAAACACTTGATTTTTGGTCGTTAGGAGGTGTACAGTATACAGATGGACCATATTTTAAAAGTTGGTATGACTCATTTGATAAGGCTTCCAGTCCTCGAATCCTCGTTCACACCCCCAGCCAGTGACAGAAAATGTCTAAACGTCGAATTATACAAATAGTCAAAAACACTTTCAAAATGATGTACATGGAAACGTATATGCTCTGTCTACATTTCTACAGTCCAAGATACAACATAGCTTGTTAACCCCTCTCCTGCAAACAACCTCGTGTGCGTACATTATAGACAGTCATCAAACAGAATGTCTGAAGAGCGAAAAGCCCCGAACCGTCGCGCACGAGCTGAGTGTCACTCAAACAGGTATGTGTTTGAAAAATTCCCCTCGCCGTACTAAAGTTTGAGTCGTTTCTATGACTGCAAGTAGATATATACTGCAGTAACTCCAGATGGAATTTTGACGCGCATCTTTTTGTTACTATATATATA